AGCAGATGAGCACACGTTCATGATGCGTTTGCATACATCACTTACTAGCCACCAATGCTCCCTCTACACTCAGAGAGATTTTCTTTTCTCTTTTTTCAAACAACAGACCTGGCTCAGGTGATCACTCCTATGATTTGTTAGGTGCACAGGCTCTAAGCATAAAATCAGGTTGTGTCAGTTGACACATCTGCATCACTGCTTAAGTGCAGCTGACACTTCAGAACCCACTGTTGTAGTGGATTAGTGATGAGAGACGACCTGTTCTTTGGGTTTTCAACAATGTTAGAATAGCATTACAGACATAACAGATGAAAATGTGTAGCCTTAAACTGTTTTGTCATTCCACACAGTTACTGCATTTCCAATTCTCTAAAACATCAGGTTCAATACACACCACTGGTGTGTTGAGCATTATTGTGTAACACAGCAGTCTGGCCTTCAGCAGTAGGGTCAGTGTTGCATCAGAATGCTGCCCATATCATAGCTTTGTCCAGGCTATTTCTACCCAGAGACAGTCTGCTAACCAAGCTCTACAGCTACTGAGTGAGAGGGGATAAAGTGTCAGGAGCCCTAATGCATGTGTGATCCTCTGAACCATCAACCAGCAACAACAGGCTGGCAAAGCAAACACAAGCCAGGTCCTCATCAGTATCACCCTTCTCATTTGCTTCCTGTGTTTTTTTATCAATGAAGATCTTCTTGCTCTTCATCTTCCTCTTATAAAATAATTATAATAAGAAGAATCATTTTCAATCACAATGATTTGTGATTTAAATGTCTTTGTAAGTAAATATATCATAACTATTAACTACTCTGTCAAAATTCAGATGTTTAGATGCCCAACAGTCATTAAAACATTTTATATGATGGCTCATGTCTGACATTCAGAAAATGGAAGTTGATCCTATTTTTCCCAATTATTAACCACAAAACATTTGATCAACTGCAAGTTGCTGATAGGCAGGCTTCAGCAGCAACTCTGCCATCTTTGACTACACTAGAAAAGTTGTGTATTTCATCTTTAATTTGGGCTAATTGTTCATTTCTGCTCAAAGAGTGAGCCAGTATATAACCAACCTTTACATGTCTAATACTGTGATTACTAATGCTGATTAATTAGCGCTGTGATGTCTGCACTAATGAAAAGACACTTCCTAGTCAAACACAAAACCTATTGTTTCTGGCACATCTTTTCTTTTGCCCCCTGTCATCAGCTCGTATCCCACCTTAAATTGTGTGTGTTTGGGAGTGCATGAGTGTGTCTGCACGTATGCAAGCTTATCTGTTTACATGGATAGCGTAATGATGCCATTGCCTGGCAGTAGCACAGGCCAAATGCCAGAGGGAAGATGGTTATCTCTCTAATGTAATGGCACCAAATAGAACAGGGTTCCAATTCCGTTAATGGCAACGGTGACACCTTGACTGAGCCTGCATGCAGACAGAGGTTAAATGAGAACGAAGTTATAAAAAGTCTTAAGTCACCAGTCAGCTCAGTGAGTCGAGTGAGGTGCTGGTAGGGCCAGTGGTTTGTAACACAGTCGCAGAGCTGCAAGGCCTTTGGATTCAAGCACCAAATCTAGTGCCACATGTTGCCCCCTCATACAAATAATGTGGCAACAGTGATGTGAACCTTTCTTTGCACTGATCAACATTACTATATGAGGAAGTGTTTACAAGTGGCGAGCGTGGTCTGACTAGAGGCAATTAAAATGTTCAATGAAGTGAGAAGCAGGGCAGATGGTCAGGAGAAATGTGGCACAGTCCAGCTTGATGCACAACTGGTAAGACAGCTTTTCTTTGCTGAGCTGTGAGGCACAATGTGCCTTCATTACCCCGGCAAAATCAACACGTCATTATGGAAAAAACTGGTTCCATTTTTCTCGTGGGTTAAGTTTCTCGGTCCCTCTTAGCATTCAGAGCCTATATTGGACTGAAACCGTATAAAGGAGAGAAAATACCAGAGTGGAGCTGTGATGTCAAATGGCAGCAAATAGTGCTGCACATCATCAATTTAAAATCCTGAAAATCTTAAGAAAAAATGGTTAAAGCTGCATTAACTAAGATTAACAGTAACAACTGCTGTCATTTGACTGAAATATTTGTAGCCTGTGCACCAGTGGTCCTGAAATTTAGCCTCCAGAGTCCAACCTGCTGCTTATTTTTTATTCTGCAAGGCAGTTTTTATTCCAGACGCCTAATCAGAGACTTATTTGGACTCGGATGTCAAGTGAATTTAAACTAGCAGGCAATAAAGAAAACCACCAACACGTCTAGACCCAAAGGACTGGATTTGAGGATTACTGCTGTAGACTGTGTCACAGACATTGATTTTGTCCCAGGTCTATAAGCCTATAGCAGCTAAAGGCAACAACACTTGCATCTAAAAACATACCCATCAATCCTGTGGGACTTTGGGCCTTTACCTGAGGTGTTGGACTGCAAAGTTTTTCATGCTAGGGAAAATTTAAACATACAGTATGTGCACTTGTCTGGGGTTAGCCTTAAAGGCCCAGTTTGTTAAAGGGGTGGTACTGTAGGACTGTATTACCATAATAATGCACTTCCATGAAGTTGTGAGAAACTGATTCTGAAAAGAAAGCTTGAAATCAAATGCCACAATATCCTGAATTTTAGTGCCTAATATAGGTCAAGCTTCCAAAACAGTGGATCCTCTATTTCTCACTGCCACCCCACTGGTGAATCCCCACAACACAATAGTTGGGTCTCTCATTTGCACAAAACGGTATCTTCACTGCCGCAATTCCCTTGCGGAAACTCAACTGGTTGCTCTGGCTCTTCCCTACCCACTCTGTATTCAACCCCCCAAAAGCCCAAGTCTAAAGGGAGATCTGACATGTTTTGCAGCAGAGTTTGCCTCGAGGGATAAAACCAAAGTCACTACTGGCTGTATATACAGTATGAATGAATGAATGAATGTCACTTTCGGGTTTTTCCCATTAGGGGAATGAATGAATGGATCAATTTAATGAAGGATGGGTTTGAGTATGGAAGACATCAGAAAGCTACTGGCCTCTCCTACGGTCGGGGTACCTGCACTAAGATCTGACCTCCTGCTGTGCACAAAGCAGCTAGTTTTCCATACAACTATAAAACTGACTCGGTGTGTCTATTTCTCCCCCCCCCCCCCACTCATGGCCACACGAGAATATA